CGATGGTTGGAGTTTTCTTGATGCGGTCGAAAGGTGGGATCCGGCAACGCGTCAGTGGAGTTCGATATGCCCTATGTCCATACAAAGGTCTACAGTCGGTGTGGCTGTGTTAAATGATAAGTAAGTACAAATAAATTATCACATTTATATACAATATCCGTTTTCAGCCGTTTTCACATAAATTTTAGTATGTTTTCATATGGTATATATTTTATCGATTTAAAAAAATTTCATATGGTATATTTTATCAATTTATTTTTTATCGATTTAAAAAAATTTAATATTGAATTTTTAATGATTTTAATGCAATTTTTTATAATCTTTTAGATTATATGCTGTGGGAGGAAGAGATATCAGTTCCTGCTTAAATACTGTAGAATGCTATGATCCGCATACAAATAAGTGGACACCATGTGCGCCTATGTCGAAGAGGCGGGGCGGTGTAGGCGTAGGAGTAGTAAACGGTTGTCTTTATGCACTTGGTGGTCACGATGCTCCAGCTAGTAATCCGAATGCTAGTAGATTCGATTGTGTAGAAAGGTGAAGCCACTATTACGTCACATATTAAAATTTTCAAGTTGCGTATAATGCAATGTAACAATATAGGTATGATCCTAAAACTGATACATGGACTATGGTTGCGCCAATGAGTGTTCCTCGAGATGCGGTCGGTGTGTGCGTATTGGGTGACCGACTTATGGCCATAGGAGGATACGACGGTCAGCAATATCTTACACTAGTGGAAGCCTATGATCCACATCTCAACGAATGGGAATCTGTGAGTGTATAAACTATTCTTGTAATTGGATATAGTACAAAAATAATTTTTAAATGTATTTTATAAATTTTATGTTTATGTTTGAAGGTTGCTCCTCTTAAGGCTGGCCGTGCAGGACCTTGTGTTGTTGTGAAAAATTTAACTAATACCGTATAGATCATTTTTACTAATCAGTGATTCTTGCTATTATGTAATTTATATTTATAACTATATGTGATTTTAAGTGTTTCAGAAATATAACAGAATTTGCTCTCTTGTGATATCGTATGCATGTTAATTAATCAAACTGTCATTTTTCTGAAACAATTTTAGATAATTTTATATTTAAATAAATATTATATTTCTTCTTAGCATATAGTAACTTTTATAGGATTTTTACACAATTTCAAACTGTATTGAAGAAATTCCAATCATTGTAACCATCAAACTATATATTTAGCATTTATTTGTACATAATACTTCGATTTTATATAAATTTTCAATGTAGAGAATAATTTTGTTATTGACAATGTGTGGTAATTTTTTTGTATTCATCATATTAATCTAAAATATAAGTACAAACATTTTCAATAAAATATTATATATAAATTTAAACACGTTTTCTTTCATAAAAGTAACATTTGTCGTAAATGTCAATATTTTTCTGTATAATAATAATAATCATATAATAAACTGTAAAACCATTTTTTTTTTAGAAATAAGTGATATAAATCAAGAATACTAGTGAGAAATTTGAAAAAATAAATATATTTCAGATACAAATACTTTAAGTAATTACAATATTTATGCCAAATTATACTGATAACTTTGTAAAAATCATAATTTAATAAACTTAAAAAACTGATAGAAGAATATACATATATAAGAACAAATTTATTTTCATCAAGACAGATGTTTTTATTTACATATATGATATATGTTTTTATATTTGGCGATTATTATCTCTTGAAATAAATAAAATTATATCAATTAAAAGAAAACATGACATTATTCCATATGTTTACATTACAATTGTTTAATTTTTTTCTTAACAAGCCGGAAAAGTCCTGAAACAATGATAATAAATTATGTATCTTTCACAAAATCAGAAACAAAAATCGTAAAGTCAAAAATATAAAAGCTATGCACGTCTTATTTTTTCAAAAAGAATCTTACACTATCGATGAACTTGTAAATGTGAAAATAAAATGTTCTTTAGTTTACCGTGGAAAATCCGACGCTGGCTCTGCAAACTTGTGCCTAACCATAAACGTAGCAATAGCTTCCGCTACCTTATCTGGGACATCTTCGTGAACAGCATGCCCACAAGCGGGCAATACTTGCATTTGGAATTTACCTATTTTTATGAAAAAAATAAGTAATTATTTTATTGAAAAATACTCAAAACTTGTATTGTCACAGCATCAGTGTATACTAATGACAGCATTGAAAATTGTATACCTTGCATTTGTCCTACAGTGAGTTCACGATCTAATCTATCAACTCCTGCTAATAACAACATTTTCGGTGAAGGAACATTCAAGAATGCCGTCGATAATCCCTTAAACCAGCCAAACCAATGCTGCTCCGTTTTTGCCAAATCTATTCTCCAAACATATTTTCTGTTAGTAGTAATAGCAGAAGACACAGGTGGTGGCGGTGGCATATTGGATGACTCTTCCTCTTGAATAATATCATCTCGCGGTATAACTGGTTCTGGATTAGATTCACACTTGTTGTATTGGGTTGGCAATGAGTCAATATCATGAGTTGCTAATTTGCTAGTTTCAATGCTGAAATAGCACGTGTGTTGTATGACTCGATTTATTTTAATATCAGTATAAAAATATTACAAAAAACCTATAAATATCCTTAAAAACTCACTAACTTCTTTATCTGTCCAGGAACCGAAACCTTTGCCGATTGTATATTCCGAATTTGTCCGCTACGAACGCTGAAAACATCAATTAAAGATTAATTTGATAAACGTGTGTGTGTGTGTGTGTGTGTGTGTGTGTGTGTGTGTACTAATGCATTAACATGATCTGAAAAATTAAATTATAAAGAAATTAAATTTATATATGTACAATAGAATACATTATTTTCAAGTAAAAAGTAAATGAATCATTTAAAGAACATATTTGTTACAATAATGATGAATGTATTAAAAGCATAAGAAAATACTAACCACCACTCTATAGCCTGAGATATGGTGCTAAAACTAGATGGCCGTGATCTCAAAAAACTCTGCATAGAAGCTAATGCATCCATTGCCGTACCTTCTACAACATCTATAACTCCTAATCCATATAAATTTGAAATCAATGGAGCTGCTCTTACAGCTACCGCACCGCCCATACTATGACCGACAAGAATTATTGGAGCATCGTGCGCAATTACATCTATAACAGCTGCAACATCTCTGGTAATAAAAATAATACAATTTATTATAACGCAAAAAAAGGTTTCATAAAGATTTTATGCATAGCTGTTTATAAATCAAATAATATGTAATAAATAAATAAAATTTTCATAAACCAATATAGATATATACAACTGTATGTATGTGTGTACAAACTATTTTACATTTAGAAATTTTTAACAAATTTATCATATTTATTTTTATTTGAAGATTAAAATACATAGATTTAAAAAATATAGTCAACCTTATTACAAAAATATAAGCAAAATTAAAAAAAAATAAATGTACATTTTACTCACGATGCTAAAGTATCTGCAGACAAGTCATCATCATCTGTAGTATGAGTATCTCCGTGACCCCTAAGATCAATCGCCATGACTCTACATAATACCATTGTCATAATTGATTTCTAAAATTAATAATGCATGTTAATCTCTTTCTCAACATGTTATTAGCAACTACGAACGATACACACTGTGAGTTCTGCCCAAGTCAAACCACTATAACCACCACCGTGCAATAAAATTAATAATGGTCCCTCAGTGCCCTTGATATAAACATGAAAAGTGTTCTGTCCCACTGGTACATCCTTGGAATGATCAAAATACGGATTCCATCGTACTGGTTCATAGTCTCTTCTTCGCTGAGCTCCCCTCGACTTACTAAGTCTTTAAAAAAAAAGACATTTTTGTATTGACATTTATGATTTTATAGCAACTTTCTCCAACTTATTCAATAACTTATTAAAAATCCCACTTTCATACGATTTCACAGATCAACACAAACCTGGAGTTCAAAGCAGAGAAATTGATGGCCGATGGTGGTAATCTGGATTTCAAAACTGACTTTTGAAGGGCAGACATGTTAACGTATCGCAGACGTCAATGACACCGTCGTCTCGGGAACGATCTTCGCACTCTTTCGAGCTTTTTGTTGCAGTCATATATGCAAAAGGGAACACTCAGCAATGCTGGCTAATGCACGGTTGCACGATTGCGCGAGGGAGATGACGGAGAAAAGAAGCGTGAGAAACGTATGTAACATTAATGGATCCACCGGCGAAAGGATCGAGGACGCGAAACTCACACTATCACACACCAATCATCGACACGCAAATGGCGGAAACGAATTTTTTCTATTCTTTTTCCTTCTTTTCTTTCACTGTTTCTCCTAAATGTTGCCCTTGATCCTCTGGCTTTGATAATCAGATAATACTAATTTATTTTCGAGTACCATCGAGCTTTCTCGAACGACGTCAAACGTCGATAAGTAGAAAAATTGCAACGCTATTTTTGCATGAGTTTTGGAACGCGTTAAAAATTCCACGACATTTTACGATCCGAAACCCATTGAGAAGAGGCGTCATAACCTTTCGATTTGTGAGAAAAAAAAATGCAATTTCTAAAAAAATAATATGTAATTTCCATACATTTTAAAACTATTTTCTTGCTTATAAGATCTTAAAATTAATTAATTTCCGATTAATATTATTAGACTATCGAAATTTATTATTTATAATAATTAATATTTTAATCAGTGTTTATTTTTTGGCGCAATTATAAATTTTAAAAATCAATAAACTCATGTATGTATATATATTATAATAATTATTATAAATTAAGCTACGTATGTAATATACGTATGTAATATACATAGTTTTAATATATATACATATATAATACATGTATGTACATAAAATTATATAAATTCTCAATTCAATTTCACTTTCTTGAAAAATTTCAATAACATATATTATAGTGTACGTGTCATATGTTCATTTGTTTGCCATATGTATATAAATAACCAGATATATATCATATTGAATATATGGATCCTATCAAATATTAAAAACACAATATAATTTTTACTATTGTATGCTTGAGTATACAATAAAATAATTAAAGAGACATCTTTGTAAAATGTGGGCTGGAGAGATAAAGAAAGAAGTTGTAACTTCGATGGTTCATACATATCCATTATGTAAGGTAAATTGATTTTGTTTATAACACGTCACAAGTCAATTAGAGTATCTCAATTTTAATTATTGCAGAAATTTTCTTTAGTACAGTGATATGCCAGAGGAAATGAAGCAGGAAGCCATGGAAACCTGTGTCACCGCTGTGGAAAAATATTCAGAGAATTACGAGCATGCAGCTCGCATGATCAAAGATAATCTGGATAAAAAATTTGGTCCACCATTCCAAGTAGTCGTCGGAGAAGCTTATGCATGTGCAACTACATATCAAGAGAATTCTCTATTATATATGTTTATTGGAGGTAACATAGCAGTTGTTCTATGGAGGACGGTTACAGGTTTTTGATAAATTTTACATGCGAAAGATAAATACGTACTTTCAAATATTATCATGTATATGAATTTTCTAAATATGTTATGTATTATTATTATCTTCTTACAAACAAATACTTTAATGTTGAATCTTATATATTCTTACACATACTGTCCTATATTAAAATATATTAAAACTGTTTTTTAAATAAAAATAAATAATTTAAATATAATTTGTACCAGAAAGTATTTCTATATATTAATTTTATATGATACATTTTAATCAGATTATCATCATTGGTTTTGTATTTCCAATATGTTTAATTATGAATCTAAAATATTTGACTTAAACACATAGTTGGACCCACATTGAGATATATATATTACAATTAAACATTCTTCCTCTTTTTTTGTAACAGTTTATCTTACATATGCTTCACACATTCATATGAAAGTACTTTTATACATACATTCAAGCACATATATATGCATTATATAAATACATAAATACACATAAATAAATACATAAAATAAATTATAATAAGTGTCGAAACTGCACTATGCAGATTTCCAAATGCATATTGCCAAATTGCCGGCACAATACATATATAAAAGGTGCTTCAATTGATAAGTTATTTCAAAACCATAGCCTTCTCCAACAACAGTGTGCCATGATGCACCGAATTTTTTATCCATTGTCTCCTTAATCATTCGAGATACGCTCTCATAATTGTCTGCATATTTTTCTGCTGCAGTCACACATAATTCCATCGCTTCCTGTTTCATTTCGTCGGACATATCGCATTTCTGTAAATAAATATCATTAAAAAAATTGTATATTATTAAAGAAATTTATTTAATTTACCAAAAGATTTCCAGTAATTTATACTCATATATATACACACACATGTATATATTTGGTTCTAACTGGATAATTTTTACAATGCAATATTATAATTTCTCCAAATTTTTATAAATTTTAAGTAATACATAATAATATCTAAAATAATTTTTAGATATTAATATTTTTATGTATTATGAAATCAAATTGAATAACAAATTGATATTCATTCGAAATCAAATAAAATGCGCGTAATTTTGATTTTAAATCAGAAGTGTCGATTCAATAATTGCGATACATATGCTTCTCGTACCTATTGATCAAATTCATATTTTATATCTATTTACGCAGCGAAAGCTATAGAACAAATTATAATAAAATGCGGCGTGCATTTTACTTACTCTACAAAACGGATAAGTGTGAAGAATTTTTACAACGTCGTCCTTCCTCACTTCGGTCATTATTGCAATTTTATAAGCAAATCGCGCCTCTAACAATGCTAACACGAGTACTTTATACAGTGGCACGGTTGCGGTGTCCCAGGCGCAGGGCGCAGGGCGCAGGTCAGTGAGTCAGAGGAACACATTGTCATCATCACAAATTATCCGTCACGAAGACATTTATTGACATTTATATTGTACTAGTTTAATGAAAATATTTCTTATCTCTTAGATACAGGCATGTTTTTTTATCATTATTTTTAGTTTTAGCACGTAGTCGAATGGCTTAGACAGACACTTTATTTACATATAGAATTATAGAATTTTGAAATTTAGTGAGTCATTTATGTTTCAAGAGTAGTAAAGAGGTTAATATTTCAATTCCACATTAATTTATTAGCCAACCCTGGGAAACTTTGTTTATTTTTGCTGTATTCATCTTCATGAACTATAATTTATAAAAAATAATCTATAATTGTACAAATTGTTTTAACGATCTAAAAAATAAATATTTTTTAAATTGAAAAACATTTGTCTTTATAAAAGGAAAAGATTTTTTTTGTAAATTTCTTTTATCTAAATTGCACATTTACAGAAAATATTTATAGGGAAGAAGTAAAATTTAGAAAAAAATGGCATCAAGATTCAGTGGAGCGTTGCAAATTACAAATCTAGATGATTTCATCACTCCATCGCAGGTATAATGATCAATATCATTCTGTATTGGATCTAATTTTTATGTACTATTTTAAATTACATTTATTACAGGAATGCATTAAACCCATAGAAATGCAAGCAAACAAAAGCAAAACAGGTGCAAAGATAAAAATACAATCAGATAATGCCTTTTCGGCACTCAATGAAGTAAATGTCTACAACATTCATTTTGTCAAAGTATAATTCTAGCATAAAACTTTCCATTAAAGTTTGCTTTATTATACAGATTGGACAACCAGAAAAATTACAAAAAGTTGAGATCACACTTGCAGACTGTTTAGCATGCAGTGGTTGTATTACATCTGCTGAAAGTGTGCTCGTTACTCAACAAAGTCGAGAAGAATTGCTTAAAGTGTTTCAAGAGAAAATAGCTCAACAGGTAAAGAATAAATGTTACTACAATGTATAAATATTTTATAATTTTCTAATTTATATACAAAAGTAAAGAAATTTTATATATTAAATAAAATATCAAGTATTTAAATATCTATAGCAATATATAAAAATATATAGTACTAAATTGCTGATTCTTTTATAAATGTAAATTTTAGATTTATACCTACAATATTTATCTTTGAATGAGATATACAAAATTATTAAGATTCTTAATTTATTTCATTTTTTAAATGTTGTTTTAAATATTATAATATCATTTATGCTTTTGTAGAATGTAGGAAGCACAGATTCTAAATATATAATAGTAAGTCTATCAGTGCAACCAGTATTGTCACTGGCACAACACTATGAACTTACACCTGAGCAAACTCTCCATAAACTGGCAGGATATTTCTATCAATTGGGAGCTGATGCAGTATTGGATATGACAGTGGCTGATGATTTTGTCTTATTAGAAGCTGCCAAAGAGTTCGTCGAACGTTATAAAGCCAGTAAAGAGGGCACGAAAAATCAGTTACCAATGTTATCTTCTTCATGTCCAGGTAAAATATTTATTTATGAAAAAAATAGATATTGGTCAATTTATGAGATTTATAATATATTCTTATTTCTAATAGGTTGGGTATGTTATGCTGAGAAAACTCATGGAAATTTTATATTGCCATATATAAGTATCACAAAATCACCTCAACAAATTATGGGATCATTAGTAAAGTACCACTTAGCTGAAGTTATGAATCTGTCACCAGAACATATATATCATGTAACTGTAATGCCCTGCTATGATAAGAAGTTGGAAGCTTCCAGAGAAGATTTTTACAATCAACAAAGAAAGACGAGAGACGTAGACTGTGTCATAACATCAAGTATATTTATTCATATTTCTGCATTAAATTTAAAATTACTAAAATTTAAGTATAAATTATATCAACTTTTGGTCTTTCAGTTGAATTGGAACAGATGCTAAGTGAAGATGGTTTAGTATTAAACGAAATAGATGAAGGTGAAATTAAACAACCATTCGGTTCTTACAATGAAGAAATTGGAAATAAGTTGTGGGGTCATAGTGGCTCAGGATCAGGTGGTTACGCAGATTTCATTTTTCGTTACGCAGCAAAGAATCTTTTTGACGAGGACAATGTCACAGTGGATTTCAAAAATCTTAGAAATCCTGATTTTCAAGAGGCAGAATTGAAAAGAAATAATCAAGTGTTATTAAAATTCGCTATTATTAATGGATTCCGAAATATACAGAACATAGTTCAGAAAATGAAAAGGGGCAAATGCGTTTATGACTATGTTGAAATTATGGCATGCCCATGTGGTAATTATTGCTTTGCTTAAAATGTTTTAGCATGCAATACAAGTAACTAAACTTAATATAATTATTATTATTAGGTTGCTTAAACGGCGGAGCACAAATAAGACCTGACGGGAACGTTCAACCTCGAGAACTTGCATTGACATTAGAAAATATGTATCATAAACTTCCATTAAGCAAACCTGAAGAAAATAAAGTGGTACAGAACCTATACAAAACCTGGCTAGGAGGAGAGCATACAGACAAAGTTAACGCACATTTCAATACGCAATATCACGAAATACAGAAAACGAATACAGCACTTGCAATAAAGTGGTGATCTAACATATGTTGTAACAATGTTATATATCATTACTTGTGTAATATGTATATTTGTATAAAAATTCATTGGCTGATTGATTCTTTATTTATGCAGTACAATAATAAAAATAAATAATTTCTAATTATTTGATGCTTACTTAAAGCCATAACTTAAATATATGCCATGTGATATAAATAAATTTTACGCTCTTATATAACATAAATAATAATGTATACTCTTAATACCATCTTATATATACAGGATTAAAATTACATTATAAAAGAAATTGCAAGCGTATTTATTGTGTAAAAGTTATGATTGTACCTAAAATGTATCATAACAATTTCATATTACAAGTATGTTTATTTATACAAGAGAGAGCTTTTTAAAACGACAAAGATATGATTATCACATATAAATAATATCACGATATACACATACAAGTAGCTGTTGTTTAAATACAAGTTCTTTTCTTATATACGTTAACTTTTAATAAAGCAATATTTCATTTTGAATACAACACTATATATATCTTACATATGTTATTTCTTAAAATATGTTGTCACACATGTGTCATAAATATACACAATATATAAATAACTTCTCAAATAAAATAAAAGTAATAGATAAAAATATCACATTTGTGTTAACATATAAATACGATTAAAAACATTGCAAATTATGCTCAGTGAAACATTATGTGTAATTCCTATTATCTGCTTTATTTTTCTCTGTGTATTCTCTCTGTTTTTATACAATTCCAAGTCTTTTCTTGCAATAATTATAATTACCCCTCCTTAAATTAGCAACAAGGGAATGAATAAATACATAATTGAGTGGAACATGGTGCATGTGGCCCCAATTATCTAGAATTTTTGTTATCTAGGAATTCTTCATTTTCATTCATTTCTTTAGATTCGGATTTTTTCAAATCTATATCTGGGTATCCATCCTCAATATACCGAATGGAATCATGATCCATGTTATTGTCTTGATTTTCACATGTATCTATTAACCATCCTTGATTGCTATCAATTTCTCTAGTAACAACAAGGAATAGTTCCTTTTCCTTGCTATCTATCTGATCCTTTAGATATATGAGTAAATCGTTGTCCTGGTATAAGAAAAAAAAAGTTAATATTGCAAAATATATAAAAATATGTTTGTTTTTTAACAAATTTTATTTAATTATATTATTTAATAACCTTTCCTATTAATTGTGGCGAGTCCAGTTTTGAATCAAGATTATAAAAGGCACCATGTATCTTTTTCAGAGCGATCCAATGACGTCGTTTCAAAGGAAGTAGGACAAAACCTAGTTTGTATTCAGTTGGGACATTAAGTATAAAACCCTCGATGTTGTCTAAACGAAGACACTTTGGATCTCTAAGGCAGAAAGAATTTAATAAACATTTACCATCATAATTTAGATGGTCATATTCTTATGATATCAATGACTATACGAACCTACGTTTGTCGAACCATACAGCTTCGCGTCCTCTTCTTTGGAGAGCAGCCATAATAACATTAATATCATAGTTGCCGAGTCCTAATAGAGATTTATGAGGATTGATCCACACATCTGGACTTAGACTGTAACAAATTTGATCTAATTCTTGCTTGCTAAATCCACGCTCTTGAAACAAGTTGTTTAATGCATGTAATGCACACAGCTCCTTCACCTATATTTCAATTTATAATTTTATATAACAAAAGTACATAACAAAGTAAATAAAAAGACTTTTTTCAAATATTGTAAAAATATTTTTAAATATCAATATTCCATTCACAATTGCTTCACAATTGCATTGTGTATGGTGTGATGAGTTTTCTATACAATATAAATACGATATAAAAACAATTTACAAAAAGAATGTAATAACATTAACAAATTACTTGTCGTTCATGATATATAGATCCAGTCATATCAATCGTGCTCGCAACCATTGCAACTACATAGTTTTCTCACTGTCTAAAAGCATAGATTAATCTGCCGGTGCTTTTTAAAAGAATCTTTAAAAAATATATTCAATAGTGTTCAACAACGAATGACCATCAGCAAACCACAGACCTTGAATCATCAACGGCACTTTAATAATTCACGACTATTCAACTATCACAATTTATTAAAGCACCCCAAACATACATTACATGTCATTTGGATTTGGCGAAAAGCACATACGATAATCGTAGAAAAGTAGTAGCCACGAACTCTCAAAACGCTCGATTGATACAACCACAGTCGTAGTTAGTAAAAGCACACTAAAGTGCAGAACAGTGCAGAAGCAATGGATCAATTCCAAACTGTTCCACAAACAGAGACCACCGATACATGCACTCCTTCAACTTGGCCGTGTTCCGATATAAGCTGAATACTTTCCAATTGTTTAATACACCTTGACACAAACGTAGTAAATTAATTCATTCATATTTTCAATGTCAATAAATAATTTAACTCTTTTAGTTACATATTTTTTGTTGTGATAACCTCATAACCTTAAAAGAATTAAATTATTTCTTAACACTAAAAATATGAAAACCGATTTGCACTCAATTGCACCAATCGCCGTAATCATCGATGTAACACCACAGCTTTGTCGCGTCGCATACTTCAATATGCTCCTACTCTAAGGGACTCCGCACAATAAAAGGAACAGGGACCAGAGAATAAGAATTTCAACCTATTAGAAATTGTGTATTCCGCAATACATGATTTTTGATAGATTGAAATTCTTATTCTCTGGTCCCTGTTCCTTTTATTGTGCGGAATCCTTAAAGCTAGTCACAGGCCTAGTTTCCACGGAGGGTTTAAACCGGATCAAAGCCGGTGTTCCATCTTTTGGTAAATTTTACCTGTTAGAGAAGTAACAACAATACACGCGCGGATTACCAGATTTACCTCACTGGAAATTTACTAAAAAAACAATAATGAAACAACCGGCTTTCAGAGTATTAATTATAAAATTTTTTTCCTACGATGTAAAGTAAAAAGTGAAAAATTTCTCCATTATCTTCAGTGGTTAAAATTTTCACTTTTCACTTTTCATCCTAGAAATAAAATTTTATAATTGATACAAAAAAATGTAAGAACCAACCATTTACAGTCGAGCATTCCACTGTCATTCAAATGTAAAGGAGAATACTCGACTGTAGTTGATTGGTTCTTACATTCAGATCGGGTCTAAACAATTGACGACAACAGAGAAAGATATCAGGGCGCCCCTCATCTCGATCCCTGTTCTCTCCTCCGATTTAATAGATTTTCGTTCTGCCACTGAGCCACACAGTCCCTGACGCTGTTGGTATCTCTGTTGTGTCTATATCTAGTAAATTTTTTACACCGATTTAAATCTTCAGTGGAAATTAAGTCCCACATACACTTTTCGTAACAGTAACAGTAAGGTTATCGACCAATTGCTTTGCTTGATTGTGACAGTTACGGTCGAATCGAGCAATACAATTGGTCGAAAACCTACGTTACATTTACGGTTACTGTTACGGAAAGTATGTGTAACTAGCTTAACGAGCGCTTTGAGTAAGTAGGAGCGATGGTTGGAGGAAGGAACATGTTGAAGCATGAGACGCGATAAGTGATCAGTCACAAACGATATCCAATGAAAGCTCTGGGGATCGATTCTATATCTTGAAACGAGATGAAAATTATAAAAATGAACGAATTTACTAGAATACTAATAATTTCATTGGTCAACACTTAGTAAATTTGCTCATTTGTAATTTTTATCTTGTTTCAAGATACAGAATCGATCTCTTATTTTGCTCACGTGACGAAACAAAGCAGAGCACTCATTGGGCGCATTCAGCGGACTCAACAGTTGAATGAGTGCTTGCCGTTATTGGTATATTTTTTTAATTCATCCAATCAGAATTTTAGATCTAAAAGAATATATCAATGACAGCAAGAGCTTACTCAACTGTTGTGTCTGCCGAATGCGCTCTTTGGATATCGCTTGTTGCTCATCGCTCATTGCGTTCAGTATGTAATAGGCATGAGTATGGTGGAATTAGATAAGATGAATTATTACACATAATAGCAGAATTCGACCAATTAGAAATGGTACTAATTTTCAGTGTACTTATTTGCAGAACTTAACAGATCTCCCCACTTTCAACCCAATGCGTAGGAATGGTTCATCTTACTTCTTACATGAGCATGAGTACAGATTGTAATATTGTGACAATTATACAACTATTACGCAGTTGAGTTTAAATTTCTTTAGTGCTAATAAATAACTTAATTTTTTTAAGATTATGATATTACTGTTACAAGAAAGAATGTGTAATTAAAAGAATTAAATTATTTATTAACACTGAAAATATATGTAAATTAATTTGCTATTGTTCCAAAATAGAGTTGCAAGCTATATGAAATTCAGTGGAGTCAAATCGAGCTTCGACCTCGTGATTGGTCAATTCCTTGAGGCTCAGATTTCAAGTCCCTTTAAACGCCGCCATTTTCAAATACTTTCGATGTGATAGTGAATCTGTGAATTGGTGTGAGCAACTGTTCCAGAAGGTGGTGTAGAAGGCTCGAACGCGAAATCGGACTATCAACTGTCAACCATAATGGAATTGTGCTATTTCCGATCGGTACCCGGCACCCGGTAATGGCGTCCTTCCGATCTTATGTCTTAATTCTTACTAAAGGAACTTTAACTGAATGAAACGAATAAGTCGTAGGTTAACGCATAATGATTTGTCATATCTATTCTACAATAGAGTCGTAGGTCGTAAGCCGTAAAAAATTGGCCAATCACAATTAAATGTGAGAAGAATAATCGACTAGGATTGGTTAATTTCTTACGGCTTACCGTTTACAATTTTGTTATAAAAAAAGCCCACATCTACAACTACGATCTGACTCAGTTACAGTCGCTTTGTGCTTAGGTCCTTGAATCCTTATCAGACTACCGACTCTGTAAGCCGACCCGACTGCCAACTCTGACTGCCGACCAATAATGGACCAATCACAATAAGACTGATTCAATGTGAGTCAGTAGTCTGACAGGCTTTAGCCCTAATCTAATAAACGTGTAATAAGAAATTATGTGTAATAGAGTCCTTTATGTATAGGACTCTAATGTATATGTGCGTGTATGTGTATGTATGTAGTAAGAAATCAACTTAATCATATTCGAATTATTGGGTCATCTAAAAAGTATTCGCGGTACTTTGTCACTAGATATATGACCATTAACACACGTCTAGTGACAAAAAACCGCGGATACTTTTTAGATGACCCAATACATAGCAACATCTACTTTTCAAGACTGGGGATAATAAATCGATATTTGGTTCATATAATCATGCTACATGTAATACGATAGTGTAGTTGCTATGTAAAAAAAGTGGATGTTATCATGTAGTTTACATCCATTTTTGCAGTTACAAGTTTTAGGCCATCATGTTCTCTCTCAGGTTTCTCTCGGTTTTGACACATATGTGCAATCTCATTTGTTTAACAATAATGTTAAAATTTGTAATATTTTTATATTTTAATAGTTTTTATTAATATATCATTGTTATTTTAACTTCAATCTGTGATTTTTTAATAGTAATCATTTGTGAATACTTAAAAACTGTGCGTATAAAAGAGATCCCCCGTAATTGGTTGACAAGTCATGTCCTCCACCCTTTGCCGCCATTATGCGCAATGGCTCACTTTATTTCTTTTCACCATGATATAAATGACATTGCAATAACTTCCTATGCTCTATGTTATCTCGTCTATTGGTGCTACAAAGTCTATTGGTATTACAAAGATGGATATTTTTAAATAAAATATGGATAAATTTGAATCTATTGAAATCTTCTATATGTAACATCTCAATTTTATTTACAGAATGCATAGTAGGTACTAATTATAAATTCCTGCATGAAATATAAGAATAGGAAATTTTTGCAATAACGTGAATCCAGATATGATAAAGTTACATTATCCTTTTCTTAGTAGTGTTAAGAAGATACCTAATCTTAGTGTTCACCGTATTTGGATAAACGGTATTGCAAAACTCTCTAATATGTATATCTATATACAATGTGCTTCTATAATAATATTTCATATTATATAGAAAATTTTATATATAAATTATATGCTTTATATTATTATATATTATTTTACATTATTATTATATTATAATTATATTTCATATAATATATAAACTTTATGTGAAACTACATAAAACCACAGCTCTGTTTATGTTGCTTGCATCTTTTGCATATTTATGTCAACCTTTATCTTTTTAAGTGCCAAAATTCTTGGGAATTTCAAACAACGCAAACAGACCTATGAATAAATTATTCAATCCAAGCAGTATAATATTCATTCTAAAGCCTTATGTTCCCGATGCTAGAAATTGCTCCGAGATCTCAGACGAAGAAGGAATTAAAAAATCACATTCGAACAATTCGATCACTTGATCAATGCAATTGTCCAACTCTTTTTCGATTTGAGATCTCCGAACAATTTTTGGCATCGTGGATATATAAGTAACACAGCAGCGCTTGTAAAGCGTTAAAAAAAAGCGAATGTATGCGATTTTTTTAGCGATTTGTTAACGCTTTGTAAGCGCTGTGTGCTACTTGGGATAGCTTTCTAATACAGTAAAATCTTAAATGTATAGCTAAGATAGTAACAAATATCTGAAAAATCCATTATTATTATCCAATAGGTCCTCACAAATATATAGCAAATATTAAAATATATTACATATTGATATTGTCTTCATAAAATGTTCTCGATAATGTATAAAGATATCCACCATTTCAAAATGGTCCGTATCCTGAAATTTTATCACACATATGCATGTTAAAATATGAATATGTAGAGAAGCTTCAATTACACATATAACATGTATAATTATATATTATATAAAATACTGTGTATATGTATATATATACAGGGTTGGCCATATTCGACGGAAAGATCTGGGCAACACTGTAACTTTTGACAGAGATGTTAGATCGAGTAACGACGTTTCCCATGATTGAAAAAAAAAACATCTTTCCGTCGAATATGGCCAACCCTGTGTGTGTGTGTGTGTGTGTGTGTGTGTGTGTGTGTGTGTGTGTGTGTGTGCGCGTGTGTGTGTGTGTGTGCGCGCGTGCGTGTGTGTGTGTATAAACATAAATATTCTCGAGTGGCTTGTCGCTTGGTGCGATTGACTCGCGATTTATAGATCTGAATTCAATCCCACTTGCGCTCACATATACGATTTTTCATGTTTAAAGAGCCAAAAATTGTTTCATATGATGATTAAAAGATCTTTGATCACCAGTGCCGTTCGAATCCGGCATTAGATTCTATATATCAGTGGAAATACGTGTACATTCCCCAGGCTGAAATATTAGGCTAACGACCTCCTAATACCAGAAAAAAAATTCATACGGAAACTTCATAAGAGGTATGTCCTGTCTCGCCTTGGGATGTTGCGTCGAATGAATAATGAATAATGAATATATGTATTATATATATTTACTTACTTGGATTTGGAGGTGGATGTCCCAATCTGTATATATCTGGAGGAAATCTTGGTGGAAATGGTCTAACTTGTGCCATTAAAGTAGGATGTCTGCCTCTTCCCATAGGAGGAATTTGTCCTCTTAATGGAACCATAGGGCCTACTACGATAGGTCTCGGAGGAAAACTCTAGCAGAGATATATATATATATATATATTCACAAGAAAGTTTAACAAAGTTTAGGAACATTCATTAAAAGATGGTCAAGATTATATACATGTATCTTACTTACACCATAATAGATAGGTACAGGTATTGGCGATTCGATATAACGTGGCGTTATATCTCTTCGTTCCCTGGACCTATCTCTAGTTTTAGTTCTCTCTCTATTCCTATCTCTTTCTCTGTTTCTCTCCCTATCTCTATCTCTTCTTTCATAAGAACGTTCATTCGATCTTTCACGATATCTGTCGCGATAAGATCTCTCTTCAATAAATGGCCTGTAATAATAATTGCAATAATAGTAATTAACAAATTACTATTCACAATTCTATTCAACAACGATTTGTCGCTCTGTGTTCCTAAACCCAGATAATATTTATGTTGTATAAGATACCTAAAAGATGTCTTTTAGATGTCTTACGTCTAGATGCAATCTAATAGCGTATTCGACCCGAGCGAATTTGCACCAATCTAGGTTGAATTAATAATGTTATATGCTCTCCTATTGGTAGAATATGTAACGTCAATCAATAGTAAAACATTATTCAACCCAAATGGGAGCAAATTCGCTTGAATCGAAAACGCTATAAAAGACGTCTACTATTAGATATCTTATGCAGTATGCACGTTATCTAGGAATTTAGTGCCAGTATTGAAAATCCATAATTTACCTTACGTGCACTATAGATTTTCAATTGGTGGCGCAACATCGCAAAGCAGAATCAGATCTATTTCTCATGAGGTTTTTTTCATATCAATAGATTTTTTTCCGGAATTAGGTTGTTAGTCTAAATTTAATCTCCAGACTTTATACATGCATGCATTGATATTATATGGGACCTAAAGATTAATACCGGATTCGAACGGCACTGATGATCAAAGATCTTTTAAGAATTAGATGGCCTTTTTCGGCTCCTTAAACACGAAAAATCACGTATATGAGCAGATGGAATTAAATCCAGATCTACAAATCGCGAGTCAACCGCACCGAGCGGCAGGCCACTCGACACCTCATAGATTTTCAGTACTAGCAGTAAATTTTAGAACACAGCCTTTGTCGTACGTTTTACAAATCAATTAAGTCTGGTAGTATCAAAATATAACAAGTTATAATAGACTAAAAATTTAAATGTTTAACATAATAATAATATTTATTTATTTAAAATAAATCTATATTAATGATTAGATTCTATACCTGGAATGTGAGTTACGTTCTCTAGAATGCGATCGATTATTATCATGCTTATTTGCGCCATCTCTTTCGGTATATTTCTCTTTATATTCTCTGCGTTTCTCTAAATCGCTTCTCCTAAAATAAAGTAACAGAATGTATTTTTCAGATAAAACAGTAAGGGAGCGTTTATATTGGCCATAATCATATGATATTGCCGTAATCTGTAAGAATTGACTTATCACGGTTTAGTTTTCCTTCTCATTCGATAGTAAGAAGGGAATACTCGGAGGTGATTGGTTAATTTTTATAAATTATGGCATATGATTACGGCCAGTATAAACGCTCCCTTACTTGTTTTTTATTATACGTAATACTTGTTTGTATGTACCCTTCTATATTTCAAAAATAAACTTTCTTTATCTCAATAAATAAATAAATAAAATTTACCCATCATCTTTACGAGTATCACATTTTTCTGTCTTATCCTGATGTTTCAAATCCACGCGATGACTATAATCATAAGAAAATAAATTAAAGAGTGTTTAATGGAATATTTTCATAACGAGTAAAGTTTTCATAAAACGAACCTGGATTGATAGGAAGATGGATATCCAGAATAGACACGATTCCTAATAGGACTCAAGGATAAAGAACGTTTCCTCAAAGAACGTGACTTGATTGTCAAGGCTGTATAATATTATAGTGTTAAAATATGTACATTTTTTTAAATACCATGTTTTGTAATATTTATTATTGAGCCTCAAAATCAGGAACTAAAACTTTCACAATTATGGAAAAATAACATAACCATGTGATTTATCGTCTTCAAACACGCGATCTTTAAATTACCTAATTCGACAATTACAATTATAAATATGGCTTCCCATTTCAGAAGTATTACAATCTCGATATTTTCATCTTATTTTTAACCATGAAATGTGTCATAAATTTTAAAGAATTGATCAAATGTTAATAATTATACGATTGTATAATATTTTATTATAAATGTGTGTGTGTGTGTGTGTGTGTATATATATATATATATATATATATATTACATCATCTATATGTATATAATCTCAAGTATATTATACTTTTTATTTATATTAAATTTTTCTTGTTCAAAAAATTTCAAATACTTCGAAAAAAAATCAAATGCAACTTTCAGTATTCATCATATTATTTCAGTTAATTCTTCAATGTAAAAACTAATAATAGATAACAATTATTTGTGCAATACATACCCGATTGTTCTTTATCTATGGCTACAACTGTGCGTCGTTCTTCTATTTCGTTAGTCTTGTTTATAACCTTTTTAAATTCTTCCCTATCGAATATTGGTTTACATCCCTCTCCTATATAATTTATTCCATTATTTAATGATGAAATTCTAATATATAAACACATATATACATGTATATGTGTATGTATGTGTATATATAAATATATATATATATATATATATATATATATATATATATATATATATATATATATATATATATATATATATATATATATATATATATATATATATATATATATATATATATATATATATATATATATATATATATATATATATATATATATATATATATATACACATACACGTATATATGTGTGAGTGTGTGTAATGAATAAATGAATGAAGGAGACATTCAGATAATTATGATTTATCTTTCTCATCTATCTAATTTAAATTTCTTATATTGTCTTCGCTTTAAATTTGTTTTATTTGTTACTGACCATTGTAGCAACATTGCTATTGACATCGTCTTGTAAGTAACAAAAATATTAAAATAAGAATTACTTTAAAAACTAAGTTCTGTTTTCGCTAGATTTATGTATTAGGTGTTGGAATTAATTCGTAGCGTTTTTAATGAAAGAATGTTATTTATTTCACATGAGCATTAAAAAATACATTAATGAAAGTACTTCCCATCACTTGTAAAACGCTACGAATTAATTCCAACACCTAATATTAAATACAATATAATATTTTACAATCTCTAAACAAAGTAATCTAAATATAATAAATATAGAAAGACTTGAATACAAACTTTGATAAAAAAGTTGCATAAGCTTTAGATGATGTAATATTCGCAATAAATCGTTAAAACTTTAAGAAGAATAAAATCTTTTTCCCTTATTAATGTTATAAATTATTTTATAATTACGTATAAATTAGCACTTAAATAAAAAATAAAAAATTACATTAACAAAATTATTGTGATTATTGTATATTAAATATTATAATTTTGATGATTTTCAAATATGCTGACACACACACACACACACACACACATGCATGCACGCATACAATATATGTATAAAACTAAAATGTATCATGTGCATTTTGCATTTATATATCATTCTTTTTAAATATAAAATTAACATTCATACTTTAATGTAATAGGTAATATTTTGCTAATAGTATTTGATTGCTAAAATTAATTATTTTGTAAATATACAAAAAAATAAAAACTTTAAGAATACTTTTTTACGTAATGATTCACTAGCTTCTTTAAAATTTGATTAAAACTTTGTAATTTGTCATATATTATTTAGCTTAACTACAGAAAAATGATGTAACAGATAGTAAAATCTTGTGCGAAGAATAGTAACAACATCCACAATAACTAGAGAACCATTTTCCAACGAAAAAATGTATCACTCTTCTAAGGACATTTCATATCTTCCGTTGTTGACGATATTAAAATAATTTACAATAATATAATTAATATTTGATTGATTCCTTAAAATTTATAATTTTTAATAATTAAGCAAGAATTTAAAATGAAAAAGGAAAAATGTAACAGATAGTAAAATCTTGCGCGAAGAATAGTCGAACAATATCCGTAATAACTAGGAAACCATCTTCCAACGAAAAAATGTACCACTCTTCTAAGGACATTTCATCATCTTCTGTTGTTGACGATATTGAAATAATTTACAGTCGTATAATTAATATTTGATCGATTTCTTAAAATTATGTTTTAATAATTCAGCAAGAATTAAAAAAAATTGTATTATTTATTAATTCAATATATAACTTTTACATAGCATATTTCATACTTTTTTAATCTTTATTATATTAGGTGTTGGAATTAATTCGTAGCGTTTTACAAGTGATGGGAAGTACTTTCATTAATGTATTTTTTAATGCTCATGTGAAATAAATAACATTCTTTCATTAAAAAACGCTACGAATTAATTCCAACACCTAATAATATTATCTTTTTATTTCTATGAATGTTTGTTCAGTGATTATATTTTAACTTTTTCAGAAATTTCATTAAAATTGTTAAAAAATGCGGGATAACTGAATAAACAATGTAGAAAAAAATTCTGAAAAGTAAATATCATATGATTGCAAAAATTATAATTTAAATTTTTACATTTATAGAAATAAATTGTCTTCAAAGGATACAAAATTTTTATTTGTATTAATTATATTAATGTAACAAAAAACATAATAAATATTAAAATTACAATATCCATATTACGTGCATTCCTTGTGTATTTAATTAATCTTGATGTTAGAAACAAATTATTAAAAAAACTTCCATACCTATTTCTTCTCTTATGATGCACAATTTTATTACATCTTCATTGCAGACATTTTTCGACCACATCTTGTGTTATTAATATACTAACATTCTATAAAGCAAAATTTTACAATATATATAAATATATGTAGTTTATGGAAGTATACAAGGTGTTTGGAAAATAATGATAAATCATTCGCATGGGGGCAGAATGGACTATACTGAGAAGAAAAATCCTTTACCATTTTGCAATTTTCGTAATAGTTAACAAGATATGATTGTTAAAAGTTGCCGAAAATTGGCTTTTAATAATTTTTTACTCAAATACTACCAACTTTATAAAAAAAATTGCAAGAGACGAAAATTGTTTTTCTTCTCTACGAATTTTTTCAGAATTTTTTATCAACTTTTTAGTACTGCATTTTCTCATTTTTACCAACATGAGGAAATAGGGTATTAAAAAATTCTGAAAAAATTTTTAAAAAATTCTTAGAGCTCTATGAGAAGAAAATAAACAATTTTTGTCTCTTACAGTTTTTCTGTAAAGTTGACAGTTTTGAATAAAAAATTATTAAAGAAATTTTCGGCAATTTTTAGCCATTAATATCTTGTTAACTATTTCGAAAATTAAAAAATGGTAGAGGACTTTTCTTTTCAGTTTAATTCATTCTGCCCTTATGTGAAAGATTCATCATTTATTTTCTCTGTATATGTATGCACATGTATACTTCCGAAACTAATTGCTAAAAGTCAATCACATACATTTTTTCATATCTCCATTATTAAATATTTAATTTATAATTATATTGAAAAATAATTGAATAACAGAAAGTATTCATTTCATAAAAACATAAAAGTAAAATTCCCGAAATTTTCCATTATTCCACATACTTATAATAAAAATTATTTTTAAAATTTTTATACATTCAAAACTATCTTAAAAGCATTACATAAATTTCACTTTTATCATATTAAGCTTTAATTTTAAAATTGCTTTAAAGAGCAGATTTTTTTCCATATTTTTCTTATTTTTAAATATGATTCTGAACAAAAAAATTAACTTTATCTTCATTGTAGGCTTTCTTTAATCATTTTCGTATCCCTTTTATAATATTAATACAATATCTTCCGTGAAAGAAAATATCTTCCATGAGAATATTTGTCAAACAGAGTATCTTCCTCCATCTTACAATTTAATCATGAGTAATAATAAATTCAAATTGATTAAATAAAAAAATATTGTATAAACTGATTATTGAAACAACAATATTACATTATACTACAATAATGGAAATTACTATTTTTTAAATTTTTCGCATATGTAAAAAATCCACTTAAAAATTGTATAAATTACCTCTATATCAAATAAATTTTAAAAACAAGTAATTAAAAAGATTTTCCTGTTCTTACATATCTATTTCTATATACCTTATCTTCATTGTAGGTTGTCTTCCGTCATCTTTTTATCTCTTTTATAGCACTAATATAATATCTTCCGTGAAGGAAAATATTTTCCATTAGGATATTCGTTCAAATCGCAGTATCTTTGAGCATCTTACAATTTAATCGTAAGTAATAATAAATTCAAATTAAAAAAAAATTGTATAAACTGATTATTGAAACAACAATATTATGTTATGCTATAATGAAAATTACTTTTTAAAATTTTTTTAATATATAAAAAAATTCACTTAAAAATTGTATAAATTATCTTATTATATTGAATCAATTTAAAAATAAATTACTAAAAAGTTTCCTGTTTCTATGTATACCTAATCTTATATACCTACATACTTTTTTTATTCTTCCTTCGTTGTAATGAATCACGAAAAGTTTAATCTTATCTTCGTTGTGGCAGACTTGAATCATTTACCCTCCAAAATTTGTATAATTATATTTTCTGTGAAGTAATATTTTTTAATTAATGTATGAATTGTTTTATAGTAATTAAAAAATACGTAATCATTTTTAACATATTTACAAATTTACAATTTTTTATGTAGGAATGCACGTAATATAATATGTATGAATTATATAATTCTCGAATTATGTAATTTATTTCAATGAGAAACAACGTTTTAAGTTTAATGAAATTTTATACAAACAGAAGTAAATAAGGCGTAATTAAATGTTAGCATAAATAAATAATGCTTAATTAAATGTATCAATTAAAAAAATAAACATATAACTTAGAAATCTAAATAAAATTAATTATCGCGCGCACGTGTTAAAGCAAATGCTATATTTGAAATTCAACTATTTAACTCTTGAGCAAGAGTATAAAATATGCAATAAATTATTTGGATATTGTTTGAATATTATTTGTTTATTAAACATACTTTTTGATATGCAAAATAACATTACTTCAGGAAAATATTTTATGAAAATATTCCTGCAATATATACCCTATACCTCTTGTGAAAAAAAGTTGGTCAAAAATAATGGATAAAATACTCTTTCTGTGTTCAAAAATTTCTTGAATTAAATTTGCAATGTTCATCATTATTACGAGTATTTCTCTTGCTTGTCATCTTCATGATGTTCATTATCGATTTTTTTATAGGAAATTCTTCATAGATGCAAAGGAATAAACCTATCGATGCATCTTGCTCTCTACTTACATATCATAACTTTTGTGCTATATTGATACAATAGACACATTATTAGTATTGCATCCGTAACACAATTCTTCATTTACTGCAGCGCTAAATAATAATTTTACGCAAAAAATAAGAATTTTTGGGAATAAAGATTTTAAAGAAATTAATAATTTATCCTCTCTTCTTTTGACGATCACATCTTCAGGATTAAGTATATCTCTTCATAATTCGGTCTTTTTACATTTCACTCATTTTCCGATTGCTCAAAGTCGAAACCGGGTTTACTTCTTGTACGTTTGCCCGTGATACGCATGCATATGGTTGTACAGACATACGAGACCTATAATTTAACGCCGGTTCCGAATGGCAGTGTTAAAAGGTTTGTTCTCGGCAATAGATATTCTTGGTGGTTTGCTAGACTACCGAAGAGGAGCTCTCTCTCTCTCTACAAGCGCGTGAAAATTTCTTAAAACTATCAGGGATCGAACTCCAATCCCTTAGGAAGGTAGACTTACGCGCTGTCCTCCATACGCTCGTGCTCGATCTTTTTACAGGAATAATCCTACAAAAACAATGTTTTAAGTTAAATAGAATTTTGTACAAAACATAAGTAAATAAGGTTTAATTAAATGTAGCTTTAGTATAAGTAAATAACGTTTAATTAAATATTTCAATTAAAAAAATGAACATATAGCTTAAAAATCTAAATAAAATTAATTATCGTTAAAACAAATATTATACTTGAAATGTGCATTAAGCAAGCCTCTTGCTGCAAGAGTATCAAATATGCAATAAATTATTTAGATACTGTTTGAATATTTAATTATAGTTAAACATACTTCTCGATCTGCGACATAATATCCCTTCAGAAAAAAAAACATTCTAAGTTCCTGCATAAATATATATTTTACACTTCTTGTGAAAAAAATCACAGGTTGAAAATAATGGATAAAATACTCTTCCTGTGTTGAAAAATTTCTTGAATAAGATTGAATCAGATTGAATCAGATTTGCTATGTTCATCATTATTACAAGTATTTCTCTTGCTTGTCGTCTTCAGGGAGTTCATTATCGATTTTTTTAGATATTAGGTGTTGGAATTAATTCGTAGCGTTTTTTAATGAAAGAATGTTATTTATTTCACATGAGCATTAAAAAATACATTAATGAAAGTACTTTTAAAACTTATAAATACTTTGTAAAACGCTACGAATTAATTCCAACACCTAATAAATAATAATTTTTTGTAAAAATAAGAATTTTAGAAAATCATAAAGATAGAGAAATTAACAGTTTACCCTCTCTTCTTTTGACGATCACATCTTCAGGATTAAGTATATCTCTTTCTAATTCGGTAACAGGTCCTTTTATAGGAATATTTCTATGAATATCAACTTTAATTCGACGTAGTTCCGAAGTATCAATCTGTGCATTCTGAGGACCTCTAAATAAAGGTACTGTTCCACTTGTAGACCCATCTAATCTAAAGAGAATTTGATAATATGTTAAATTAATTATTATACTGTTAAAATAACCAGGATTAGATTTTTAAGCTATATGTTAATTTTTTTAATTGAAATATTTAATTAAACGTTATTTACTTATACTAAAGCTACATTTAATTAAACCTTATTTACTTATGTTTTGTATAAAATTCTATAAACTTAAAACATTGTTTCTGTAGGAAACATATTCCTGTAAAAAGATCGAGCACGAGCGTAGCATGGAGGGCAGCGCGTAAGTCTACCTTCCTAAGGGACTGAAGTTCGATCCCTTTTTTCAGGAAAATAATTCTATTCTGGATATATCCTTTTAAAAAAATTTTTTTTTGCTCTTGTTTAAAAAAAACATTTTCACTTTTCTATTTTTTCAATAAAATGTTATGTCTTTTTTACTATTTAATTATTTAAAAAATAATTAAATAAATATCATTACTGTCGTCTGTGTCACTGTGTCACTGTTTATGTGATAAGTAACCAATAATGGCCAAATCTTCAATAAACGATGTAATAACACTGCTCTAATATATAAATTCATTTTAACTATTATGTAAGTAATATTCTCTAAAAATAATTTGTTTTATACTAATTATCTTTTTTACTTTTTTAATTCATTTCATTGAAATTCTTTCTGGATATATTTTCAAGTCATCTTATTTTTATCAAGTACAAATAAATGTTTGGACCATAATAAAGATACAAGTAATTGTGTATATATCGTACACTCACTTTTCATGGAGGGTACCAGATTTAGAAGCAGTTGATGTAGATCTACCTCTGTATCGAACATGCGAGGGAGATTCACTACTACTTTTACTTTGACTGTGACGCGGGGATTTTTCCTCAGCATATTTTAAAGCTTGTGCACGTTTCCTTTCATATTCTAAAATTTTTTGCTGCTTCAATTTTTCATGTTGTCTCTCTCGCTCTTGCTGGCGTTGCCATTCTCGTCTGCGCCTTTGCTTCTCTTCTTCGGTTCTTGAACGTAAAATTGCTAAAGTATTGTGATCTTCGTTACGTGTTGATCTTGACTCCTCACCGCTCCGGAAAGTTGTCGATCGCATAGGATTCATTGCTGTAAATATAAAACAAAATAAATTCACCACTAAAATATATCAATTAAAAATTAGATTAACAGAAGTTCAATATTAACAGCTAACATAGAAAATCATTTCTTATTATTTCTTTTATTGTGATTAATAACAAAGCACATTTTGTGGTTCAATTTAAAATCATATTATTAAACATTTTTATATTTATTATATATATATATATAGAGTATAAATTCTTTTACAAAAGTCAAAAATAATTTGAATGTTTACAACAATTTAAAATAAACAATATCGTCTGGGAAAATATTACATTTTATTATGAGACAATCTTTATTGTGAATGTAACATTAATGATTTTTCAAATAATAGTTCTACTAGATTTTTTAAATACATATGAAGTTATATAGAAAATATATTGTGATTTGATATTTGCATAGTGCTTTGTGAACATGTGTAAAAAAATTCCTTTAGAAGTAAATAATACATTTAAAAATCAGTAGTTGCATTGAAATTTCTTTAGATAAACTTCTTCCACACTTACACTAACAATATATGTACACAAAAGTCAACTACTTATATGTTTAATATATAAAAATATAAAGTAATGATAATATTGATAACAATTTACCACATTTATTCTCTTTTCATTTTATCATACATTTGGCATAAAAGATTTAACATCTTTTAAAATATAATAAAATGAACTACAAGCCTAGCTGAATGTTTGTTGCTAATAATTCTATTTAATATTTAAAATTAAGACAAAACATTTTCGACCCGTTATTGAATCATTCTTAATGTGACGAAAATTACAGTGTAATATAGTAAATTGTTTTACGTCCGTTTTTTACAATTCTTTCTTACGCATCGTGTTGGTCAATCAGTGTAGCGATGCGGCGTTGTCCATTTAAAAAAAAAACCGATATAGGTGTTTTCAACATTTGTAGATACTTATATTCGCTTGTTATATTTTTTTTCTTGATTATTATTGTGCCGATTACGTGAATGTAATTTCTATCAGTAATAATAGAGAGAAATGTTAGAATTTTGAAGCTAAATATATAATTAATTAAAAGTCTGTGTGATAATATCGGTATCTAATAAAATAATATAATACTTGGATATGAAAGTCCGCAATTACATCGTTAATAAGGAAATTTTTTAGCTGGTATACTTAAGTGTCATTTTTGTTGTTGGAATGAGAAAATGAGAAAGCAATTTTTGACAAAGGAAGGAGAAATAGTAATAGGAGGGGACATTAACGAGTGAAGACATTATGATGAGGATAATGGCTGAATTAACATAAGATATCCATCGGAAAATGATTTCGTGTCATTCTGTTTATTTAATCCTTGTGTCTGTTTCTTTAGAAAGAACCATCTCAGATATTATTTTCTTGTTATATGATGGTTCTCTGTCCAATATTTTTACTTCTTTCCAGTTAAAATCATGGTTTGACATTGGACGATTGGAAATTACTTACTTTTTAGTGATCTTTTATTTTCTTTTCTATCACTTTTTTTCTGAATTAACAATTTTTATTTCTCTTTGAATATTAATGAATACAAAATTTAAACTTGTAGTATCATACTGTTATACTTGTGGCATACAATATTTTTTTTTGTAGGATTGCTTGCATATTGCTATGCTGAAAATTGTACAGTCTGATGTTGCTAGCAGTCTATCTGCTAGACTTTCATGATACCAGATATTATTTTTTCTGCATAATTTTTCATCTCTTGTGAATTTCTTATTGTCCGCGCGAATGTAAACTTAGTACATAATTTTAAACTTAAATGCAAATGTAAATTCAAATGTTGTCAATTTTTTTTGTTAAATAATATGCTTGCTTATGAGTTTATGTGATATATTGTTAGGTTCCTTTATTTCTTTATTTTCAATATAATGCTTTGTTATAATCTAACTACTGGCTGGTTTTATAACAGCAGTTTTGCTGATACCTTGCCATTTGCTGTATGTATATGCATTGCAATAAAAAATGAAATGGAATTTTATGTTGTCTCATTGTGAGAACCAATTAAGACTGCGTTCCATCAATATTGAAGATCTGTGGCGCATATAACGTAAAACTATAGGTTTTGCAGCGAATGTAATATATTGACAGGAATTGAATGTTTTTCTGGGGATGTTTTCGTACATTTTTTTTTAGCTAGTTTATAAGAAAAAAAAATACTCACCACTATAACTTCACGAGCAAGTAGAAAATAGATTCCGGCCAGAACGTAGCTACGATATAAATCTTCGCACAGCGATTGCAGAAAACTTATTTTGTTTTGTGGAGCAATAATTAATCAATTCCGAAAAATTCGCCAATTGAAATCGTAAATTACAAGAGCTGCCCAGGATTTTTCGATCAAATGCAAATTGTTAAGTAATTTTACAGTATTTAGATCTTGCGTATTCTAAGACAAACCAATCCAGAATCAAACTATAATTTATACAACTGTGTAAAAGATAATAGATTCGAATATTTAAAAGTCCAAAACAGTCGTAATTCTGGATATTAATTCATTATTAATACTAATATTTTATATAGAGTATATAATAATAGTTAAATATAAAGGATTAATATTTTGTTAGAATTCTCACATAACAACAATTCACAAGTTCTTTATATTCTAACCGACAATGACTGACAATGACTGACCGATTATCAAGGCTCAAGGCTAACATGGCTACACCCTATAGTCCAATTTACATCGGTAGGCTAAAGCGGAGAGCACAGACTCTTGCATAACGCATAACATATGAGGCATAAAAAATTGAACCAATCAGAGTTCTTTATTTTATGAAAAGGAAGATCTTCGATTGATAGAATTTCTTATAATTGCTTTTGCACATTAGATGCTTGTCGCGCGGCAACATGTAATGCGGTAGCCAATAAGCTTACAGCTCCTAATGTGTTCATTGGTTAAATGCGTCCCATTTTGCCGTGCGACGTTTCCGCGTCCACTGTACAGAAATTATTATGTAAAAGTCTGTGCTCCCCGTTTAAAGCCTGTCGCACATGAAATGCATAACATAAGACTGCTGGACCAATAAGCATCCAGCATAATGTCGCCATATTGATTTACATAAGATGCTCATTGGTCTAGGGGCCTTATGTTATGGTTATGCAGTCTATGTAATTTTGTATTTGATGCCTCAAATAGTATATTCACACAACTTGCAAAGCCGCATAAATGTATGCATAAAGAAAATTATCGCATTTCTTTTATAAAGACGCTCGTGATTAGGTAATTTTGCTCTTTAAGCGGAGAACACAGACTCTTGCATAACGCATAACACATAATACATAAAAGAATCTACCAATCGAAATCCTTCGTTTCCTTTCTTTCCATGAAATAAAGAACTCTGATTGGTTCAATTATCCTTATGCCTCATGTGTTATACATTATGCAAGAAACTGTGTTTCCCGCTTTAAGCGGGGAGCACAAACTTTTGCATAACACATAATACGTAATACATAAGGAAAATATATCAATCAAATGTTCTTCGTTTCTTTCCTTTCCATGAGATAAAGAACTCAGATTGGTTGAATTTCTTATGCTTTGTGTTATGCGTTTTGCAAGAGTCTGTGCTCTTCGCTTTAAAGAGACACCAACTGCACTTATCCCTTCTACCATGGTCGAGCGTCGGCATGGAAAGGCACCTTTACCATTTCAAGATTTCATCTTTCAGATTTCATTTTCTGTGTTCACGGCATCTTTATAAGGAGAAATTTTAACCTTAACGCAGTTTCGATTTGTTTCGGTTCTTTGAATGTTGCTGAATGCGTCTCATTATTTTATAAGCATTTTTTATCTATTTCTTATCAAAATATTAAGATATCTGTAGAAGAGTTGTCCTGTTTCAGATTGATTGTAATATCAAAATCACGTGTACTATGATTACGGCAACCTGGAGGTTACTGTCTCCTATTAATAGGAAACAGTTTAATCCGCTAAATTTCTCTTACACTAGGTAAAGAATGTTATTTTACTTTTCTGCAATTGATAATTTATATCTGAATAATAATTTTTAAATGTTAATGAAACATGTAATATGAAACCAAGCATTTCAGTGTTGAAATTATTACAGCACTTTATTATTATATGGAGATTATCACGTAATTTTACTTTCTCTATTGTTCTTAATTGTTCTCTAATATATTTAATTAATGTGCGTAAAAGAATAGGTTAAAATGACAACTAAAATATTTATATAATACATATTTTTTATTTCTTAAGTTATCATAGATATAATCATAAATAAATTAAAATATAAAAAAATTGATGTTGAAAACAATGAATTATTAAATTTTATTATCAGGGAATTTGCTTCTGCACAAGACTTTACTATACTTAAATCAAAACAGAATATAGAAAAAGATTCTATACCACCAAAGCCAAAGAAGCCACCAACTGTATTTGTCTTATATTATAACTCTGTAAGGAACAAATTGCAAAAAGAGTATCCTCATTGCAAAATAACTGAACTTTCAAAAATAGCATCAGAGAAATGGGCACAAATTGACCCAACAATAAAGCAAAATTTTCAGAAGCAATTTCATGAACAATTTTCTATATATAAACAAAAATTAATGGATTATGAAAATTCTTTAACTAATGAACAGAAGATGGAAATAAAATCATTGAAAAAAGGACATACTTTGAAGCAGAATGAAATTAAACAAGTATTGACATCAATTATTTTGCATGTATTGTATATATACTAAAATTTCTATAATAAATAATAACATTCTTTTATTTTTCTGATAGAAACTTATGGAACTTGGAAAGCCAAAACGGCCATTATCTGCCTTCATGTTATTCATGCAAAGTAAAAAGAATACCAAAAACCCAAATGAATCATATAAAGTAAGTTAACTATACAATTTCTTAGGTTGCATGTACCTTATTTTAATATAAGTTGCTTAGAAACATTTCCCTTTTGCATAGTTCTTTTTATTGTTATATAAAAATATCTAATAAGATATTAAAAATTTTCAAGAGTTTTTCAGGATTTTTGCTATTAAAGTTCGCTATTACTATTAAGTCTTTATTAAAATAGTTTTTTTTATATTTCTAGGATTGGCTAAATAATATAACTAATGAATGGAAAAATTTGACGATGGTAAATAAAAGTAAATATAATGTAGAAGCAAGTGATTTATTTAAAAAATATAAGATTGAATTGCAAAAATGGAAGGAAGAAATGATTCAAGCAGGTCATTATAATATTGTAAAATCCAATGTTAAACATAAACTCGAGACAGATAAACATGAAAAATAGGATTCAGAGTGCCTCAACCAATGTAGTATACCTATTATTAAATCCATTGCTGCAAATTTCTCCAATGTTAGAATTGAAAATAAAGAAAATATCAAAATAGGTTGGGGCACTAGTACTACACATTGTACATTTGGAAAAGATCCTGATACTAACAGTGGTAATAAGAAAATTGTATTAACTTGAAAAAATTATATTTATCAGTTTGTAAAATTATAAAACATTCATATCTAGATCAACATGAATCTACAAAGGGCATGGTACTTGATGATAATAAAAATATTTCACAAACTACAGTGGAATGTCCAAGGAAAATGACAGTGGATATATCGATAAACGAAGTTAAAAAGTCAGTTGTACAACCTCAAAATACACATATATATACACAAATATATACATATTTTGCCTCAACATGGAAAAGAGTTTTAATAGTCCTAAAAGAGACTAGTGAAAACTGGAAGACGGTAAGAGAATACACATTTATTGGCACAGTTGGTATTCTAATATCAATATTTTGCGTTTTAAATCTTATGTATAAATAAATCGTTTGTATATACCGAAACCTATTGGTAATTTGTATTTTATTTTTATACGTTATGCACTTTGTAATCTGTAATAAATAGGGTAGTTTATTTCTATAATAAATTTATGTAACCCGTTACATTTCTGTGTAAAATATTCCTTGATTATTATGTTAATTAATTATCCTTATTTGCACATAATATATAAAAATTAATATCCTAAATATATCAATTTTGTTTCATTTTTTAAATGTATATACTAACATTTTGTCTTTCTTTCTTCTTTTTTTATAGAAATTATACTAATCCAAATGAGATGACTATTATGATGATGACAGCAGCAGACGTGTATAATAATTTATGCTATCTCAACATTATACATATAACATTCATTAAATATTTGCATTTGATATATTCATTATACTTATATTCAATATTATACATACATATTTACATTATTAAAGGCTGATTGTTCTATCTTCAGATAAATTATATGGTAATTTACCTATTAGATAAACAAAAGAGTAGAAAGAGTAAGAACATAAGGGAGTAAGAGAAGATGACAGTGAGCTGAAATTTATTGAAAGGTGGAACAACCCAGCCTAAGGAAATTTATATCATTATTATTTTAAGAATTGTGAAATTTATCTTGAAACATGCATTATTTTTTATCTTCCTATTTTTTATGTGCATGTGAATGAATGATGTTATATGTTTATGAATTATAAATATTTAATGTTTCAGTCTAAATAGTAACAAAAAACTAATATACTTTATATATATATATATATATATTTCAGTTTTTTTTTTCGTTTAACTAATATCCTTGTCAAAGTCCATCAATCCATATTATAGTCCTAATTTGACAGAAATGCGCAAACTTATTTTGGATTTCTTATTTAATCTTCATTTATAAAATGGCATAATATAATAATAAAAATGTGATCACCTATGCCATTATGTCTCTAGTCTCTCTATTCTGTATTAAGAAAAAATAAATATAGAACAAGAAAATAGAAGAGGAACTACTTTAACTCATAATTTTTTATTCTTTTTTTTTGTCAAAATTGAACCGGTTTTCATATATTGAAATTAACTTTTTATTTCTTATTTCTAATATTTTTTGTAATTTCTTATTCTTTATGAAAAGGAGATCTAGAAAACGAATCTTAAGGAAAAAGAGATTGATATCTAGAAAATGAGTCGGCAATATAGTTCTACTTCTCTATATTATCAAACATTCGTTCTTATATTCTTCCTTTTGACAATACAAAAATCTCTAACATTACTCTCTATATCGATTCTTTATTGTTTCTTCAATTAACTGAAATCAGAAAGAAATTCTAGAATTTTTTGTGACAAAATTTCTAATTATAAATCATTCTTAATTCAATTTTTTAAATTTCCTTAAATTTCCATATGTCAAAAAATTAATATCATCTATCTATATTAAGGATCCAGACATTATTCGATAATTTAATTGCTAATTAAATCAATCGAAATTTAATCAAAGTCGCTCTAATATCTGTTTATTTCTTTTACCCATGTTTTCAAGAAGTACATACATACATGCATTGATATGGGTTAAAAAAAGTTAAATATATCACCTATTATTAATTAAAAATTATAATATTTATTTTATAAATACAATCTGTGTACAAGTATCTTGAATAACAAAAAATGTTTGCATTGATTGCACTTTTTACACTTAGCATCTTCGTTTTTCTCTCTTCAACATCCAAATATATATTTTTATCTCATTTTAAGTTCAAAAATTCTGGGAAATTTCAAGTAACGCGAACAGATTTACAAGTTCAAAGAACAATCTCGTCTAGAATGTTTGAAAATCATTGGAATACACACTTCAAATGGAAGTTTTGTAATCAGAATTAGTCTTGTTTACAAATCACATAATTAAAAACTAATAAAGTGAATAGGTCTATTTAGCTTAACCTCTAATCATCTTTTAATCCTGTAAATATCCGATACCGATAGAAAAAAATCTGCTTTCAAGGAGAAGAAGAAGAAGAAGAAGAATAGTGAAACCGTGAAAGCACGTTTTTTCCATGTCATTGTGTCGTAAACAATCAGAAATTCATGTTACTTGATTTTCTTCGGCTATTTCCTTCTTGAATAACGTGCAGTTTGAATGTGCATGTTACAAAAGCACTCACGTGGATTCGCGTATTAAATTATCGTATTCATTTTCAATTGTGTGAAATACGACGATGGCTGAAATCAACGCCAAGAGAGAAGCGAGAAGGCGACGAATATTAGAAAACTCGGAAAGTCGTCTACACAGAATTACAGGGAGAGTTAATTCGGTCGAAATCAAAGGTAAACATAACCAATAACAGCTTGGTATTAATCGAACAAAATTTGTGTAATCTATTTCTGTTATCAATCAGCATTAAACTATATATAATAAATATATCTACTTTATTTTTGTTCTTAATTTGCCATCATCATACATATTTTGTTGATAAATTTTTCTATGTTTCTGTTAGCATTCTGTCAATTATCAAGTTATAGAAAAAGATAAACATGTAATTCTGAGTATATCTATTAGTACTTTTTTAATATATAATAAGTATAGATAAATTGATTTGAACAGATACAGTTTAAGAATATTTGCAGATAATGTTCCACAAGTGGAAAGCAACAGTCTTAAAGCAGAATCTAATTTTGGAGAGGACAATATCAGAAATGGTGTATACAATATCAGTAGCGACACAAAATTGCAAAATTGCACAAGATTTGACAACAGACATGAAAGTTTTTTAAATGACATCAGCAATAAGAATATGCATTCATCAGAACAAGCATCTAAATCAGAATTTATGTTATACACATTATTATTCAATCGTATCAGTTTTATCTTGCTAGCTGGAATTGTCAATATTTTGTTAGTGCTGAAACTCGACTATTTATTTGGACAGGTATATAATAGTATATATATTTGTGTATACAAGCTTATCTTATTTCATTGAAATATTCATGTTGATAACATATATATTGTTCATATATTCACAGGCAGTTATTATACCTTACTTATTATTGATGATGGGACGTTTATACAACTGTACGACATTATACGAAGCACAAGATAACAGTTTATTACTCATTGCTTTGATGTTGTGCAATGTCAAACCTAGATTAATTTATATATTTAAAGTATCGTTCGCGTTATTTACCATAATACTTAATGATTTTTGCTTGTATATGTTTAGTTTTGTATTGATGCACTATATTATTATTCTCTATTATTATTATAATGCTGCAGTACCAACAAATGCATAATTATTCATAATAATGGAGTAAGTAAAGCTAAAGTGGAATTTTATCGTTGGAAATTTTGTACAATGTTAAAAAGGTAGAAGGCTATTCTCAGAAGAATATAAATTGATATATTATTTTTGAAAACCTGCAGCTGTATTTTTTACGTTTTCAGCATTATGCTGTGATTTTAATTAAATAAGCGTACACAGATATTGTATAAAAGGCACATTAATTTTTCTAGAAAATAATTATAATAAATACTTATAAAATAATTATATTAAATGTAATTATAATAATTTTAAAACAGATTTTGTACATAGATGTAATGATTCTTTGTAATTTGTATTTATATAATGTTGTAAATTCGCAACATTAAGATTTGTTCTTTTCTACGGTTACTAAAGCTGTCCAAATGCTTGATGAATTATCAAGTGCTTATTATTTCTCAACACTTTGATAGGATTAATATAACAAAGTGCAATCAATTACTGTTAAGAAATATGTAATCAATATTTTCTCTCTATTTTATGATAATATATAAATATAAAAAAAATAAGTAAAATTTAAACCTTACAATTTTTTATTATACAATTCTAATCTAAAAGCAGATTTAAAAAATACTAATATCTTTAAAAACCAACAGTACGAGCAAGATATATAAATATATATATGATAATTTTTTAATTTGTGATTGAAATAAAAAAAATCACTTTTTAGACATATGTATGTATGGTATTGTACTTTTGTTCTTTTTGAGGAAATTCCTACTGTAAAGGAGAATTTTAAATTTGGCGCGAGAGATATGATCGTATTCATTGATTGGTCAAAAAATTTCTAACCTACAGATAGCATCGATAGTATCGAATTACTTATTAGAAATATTTTGCTGCGTTCCGTTTCACGCATGATACGTATGCTGAAACGCATTATTTATCCTTGTTATTCACCGAATGTTAAACAAAAGTCAATAATGTATCATGAAATGGCAGCCCTCAGTTCACAATGCACATATAAATATCAATTTTGATTTTTGTTATCTCTGCTATCGATTCGATCAGATTGATGGAAGACAATGAAAGATTTTTTTTAATTTGTTCTTGATTATATAACAATAATACGCAATTTCTGACCCTGTGAATTTTTTGCGGTTCGTCGTGACGGTTTAAAATAAAAAATATATTTTGAATTTTCTATTTCATGCAAATGAAATAAACATCAAGTGACTCGCAAGATTTTATTTTCTATATTTCTGAAAATAATTCTTAAAAAAGATTGCGCATTAGATATAATGTATTCTTAATTTCTGATGCAATAGCAAAAATTATTCGTCAATCGCTATTCATTGGCACATCGATGCATACGTGAGATCATCGCGAGATTATCAAACGTTAAGTAAAATGATACGTAAGGGTGCATGCCAAATAGCCAGCTCGATTCATTCAAGTCCTCTTGCAGAGGTGCACGACGTTCCAATGAACATAATTATCAGACCTTTCCCTGTCGATGTGAACGAGGAAAAGGTTCAAAGTTTAATGAATGCGTTGAAAAATGTCGAAACTAAGGACACAGTACCACCCATCGACGTTTTATGGATCAAAGGAAGCGAAGGTAAAGCTGTCAAAGTATAGCGGCGTGAAAAGTAATTTTTACCATGATTTTTACATTCTTACTAATTTATGATTGTGCCAGTAATTTATAAACGAGATCAAATCACTGTGAAATTTCTAAGAGAAATAATTAAATTTATTGATTATATTTATAGGTGGTGACTATTATTACTCTTTTGGTGGTTGTCATCGTTATACTGCTTATCAACGATTAAGTAAAGCATCTATTAAAGCCAAAATAATTCAATCAACTTTAACAGATTTACGATGTTATTTGGGAAATTCTACTCCAGACTTGAAGTGAATTGCATGTATATATGTATATATATATTTTTTTTACTGTTATATATAACTGAATTACTTATATTTGAACATGCATAAACATATTTTTTACTATTGTATTATACACATATATATTGTATAATATAATTTTTGAAGAAAAATAATATATATATTTAATATATGTGGTCAATTTATTTCATAGTAACATTACTGATATATATACTATACATATACACAATTAGAACGAAGGCAGAACTAGAGAAAATTAATTGTTTGGTCTCTACTCTCTAAAAATTAAAATAAAACTTGAGTTTAAAATTGATTTATTTTTTATAATAGATAAACAATATGTGCTACCAGTAACGATATATGTTCTTTCAAAAAAAAAAAAAATCAAAGTTCAAAATTTATTATTTAATGATAAAGATCTTAATTATATCGGGTAATAATTCGAAAAAAAGATTAATATATTTTTATAAATATTATGAACTAATTTAAGAGATAAGAATTAGAAAATATACAATATATTATTTTCTATAATTATCATTTAAAAATACATAAAAATTAATCTGGCTTCTACAATTTTAGTTATTATTTTATGATTTTAAAGCAATAATTAATACAGTGTGCTATAGCATTTAATTTTGCAATAATTATATTCAATAACTTCGAATATTTGTTAAAATTTGATAAATACTTGAATGTCATTAAATATTTGTAATGAAATGTTTATAATATTTAGCAAAAGCACATTTTTTTAAATTAGTTGTACTGATTTAGATTTATTTATTACATTATATCTAGATTTATTTTATACTTGCAAAATAATACCAAGTAAATTGATGAATCACAAATCATAAATTTTTTTGTGCATTTTAAAAAATTTTACTACTATTTTGATGTAGAAGACTATTATATAAAATATTGTATCACAGATAAAAAAATTGTTGTAAAACAGAAACTTATAAAAATTTGGAATAATATAGTAGGATATTAAATTCTCATAGCATAGTGTAACACTCACAGTGCATTATCAAATAAATATCAGATTTAAAAATAAATTATGTATAACTTTTTCAGATATTTCCTATTTACCCTTTATCGATACAAATGTATTTTATTGTATATTTAAATTTTGATAAAGATTTCATAACATTTCTTCCAAAAATGATAAATAGGAAAAATTTGAAAAAGTTAATTATGAAGAAAATATAAATAATTACGATTCAATATATAATTATATACTATTATATGTATATAACTAGAGTATATAATTATGTTATTGGATAAACAAGTATATTATATCGCGTAATTAATCCTTTATATTTTTCATATTAAGACTAGGAACATACTTATATGCGCGTATTCTTATTACACAAAATGTCAAAATTTTTAATTTTTTTTATTTATGTAATCATTACATAAAGTGTTTTCTATACCGATGTTTTCTATTTGCTTCTTTCAAAAAGTACGGTTTGTAATTTCTAGTGATATTATCTGCAGATGGATTGTCTATATCCTCAACAGAATGAGATTGATTCGATTGACTCATAGGTTTACTGTTTCGTAAATGGACAGGTATAATGGATTGTTGTAAATGTAACAGTTGCGTATTAGTTACCTCGCAATCAATTTGCATCATTGTTACATGATTAGGTGGCGTTGAAAATGTACCTGGAAGAAAAAGGCTTTTATAATATTATGTGTCATTCCTATATATCGTTACATTGAATTGATTTTTTTATAAAAGATGTTGGTACATTCATACAATATTATTTACCGTTTATAGACACAGCAGGTAGAACTAAAGACATTTTAGGTCTAGCTGTGTTATTCTTCCGGGAAGCTGGCAATAATAAATGTTCGCCACTAAACCAGACAACATAAAATGTATCATCTTTTCTTCCTAAAGCTTCAAATAAAGAAGCATGTTCGCTCAATATTGGAGAAAAGATCTCAATTGCATTATTATCTGAATATTGATTAACGGCAGGAATGTCGATCATTTTATGCATAGTTTTTATTTTCCTATCTCGTGATAAGTATAATTTCTTTCTAGTTTTTTCTTCCAATGGCGACAACGATACATTTAATGAATCTGTCTGAAACTTCGTTTTTCTTAGAGCAGTCTGATTATCTTGATCAGATTCACCAACGATCCAGCGTCTTAATTCGCTATCTAAACGTATGGACTCACTCTGATTAATATACATTGGACATATTGGTTGGTGTGTCGGTATACTTTTATTAAAACTTTCTTCAATTCGATCTTCCATATTGTTATCGGTTTCATCTACTGTCCAGAACAATCTTCTGTTATGTTTATCCTTTGTTATAGATAAACTATCAGATTCAGTTTTAAAATGTACATTTTGTGAAAGTGTTCCCCTTAAAAAAATAAAAAGATAATTTTTGTATCGTATAAAATATAATTTTTATAAAATATACAATGCAATAGTTTGTTTAAGAAATCTCAAAATATCTTCACTGATTTTTGAGAAAATTTCAAATCTTAAAAAAAACTTTTACATTATACCTTCTTTTTGTATCTTGTTAAAACTGATAAAAGCTAAAAATTAAATTACAAAGCAACTCTTTAGAAACAATTTTTTTTCTTGTATTGTATTCACATGTGCCAAAAAATAAAATACTTAACATGTTCAGATTTTATTTTATGAAGATATATATATAATTATTAATATTAAAATTATATTCTCTAGAAAACTTTTTATTAAATCACATGTGTAATGTATAAGTAGAAAGATGCACTGCAATGTTACGCTTACCTAAAGCCGTCAACGTTGAAAAATTCCATGAAAATTATACCGAAAAGAATAACCGCGCTTCCCTTTATTTTCTTTTTCAAAGGATTAAAATTGAAATTTTTATGCTTGTTATTATTTGTGATATTATTTTCTATTTCTGACAGTCGCTGTTTTAAGATTGTATTTTCCTAAAAAAAATATATATATAATATTGAAAAATAATTTATATTTTTTTATTAAAAACTTATAAATATAATGTATATACATATAAAGCATAGATTGTTTACCGATTTTAATTGTCTATTCTCTTCCTTTAACTCAGATACTTGTTTCTCCAAAGAAGATACATATTCCTTTTTCTTCTTTCGTGAGAGGCAAGCAGATTCCCTATTTTTTATCATTCTTTGTTGTCTTTTTAATGCCTTTAATTTATATTCTTGATTGTTTTTTGGCAAATTCACGAAATCAATCGCTTCATTTTGTACAATTAACGAATTGGAGTTTATTTTATTCTGCATTACTTGAAATGGTGTATAATTTATAGTTTTGTTTGAAACAATGTTGTTACTTTTCACAGATCCATTATTTAAAATAGTAGAAGTATCTATTGATTCCGTAGTATTCGTTGGACCAATGTTTGATATAGTATTGATTATTTTTACATTTTGTGGTAATTGAAATGTAGTAGTTTCCGTTTTATCAGTTGAATTGATATTCAATGAATTTTGTTTATTTGCTGGTAATATCCGAAGTTTTGAGGGATACAATATTTGCTGTGAATTTGCATTCTGTGCAAATGTACTAAAGTCTTGGAGAAAAATAGTATTTTGAGGTTCGCCTGTAGGTATTAAAAATATTCTATTATATATATATATATAATTACATATAAAAAATAATTTTCTGGTTACTTTTTGTTCACAAAGAACAGATTATTGTTCAAATTTAATTACAATGAATTTTTATATTTTAACTTTTTAGTTTGTTTTTGTGAACTTTATAACTTACTCTTACATGCCCTTTCTATTATTATTAATTTATAGAGAATATGAAATATTTTGGGTACACATTACAAATTTGAATAATGACCATGAAAATAATCCATTGTCCATAATAATAAAAGCTATTTTTTTCAGACAAAACAAAACACATTAAGATGAGAATTTTCAATGTTGTAATGTTTAATGATCGCACGTATTCGAATTTAATAGTTTCTAAGCTATTAGGTGTTGGAATTAATTCGTAGCGTTTTACAAAGTATTTATAAGTTTTAAAAGTACTTTCATTAATGTATTTTTTAATGCTCATGTGAAATAAATAACATTCTTTCATTAAAAACGCTACGAATTAATTCCAACACCTAATAATATACTTTTTTTGTTGCAAACACATTCGAAGATTATCTTATATAAAGATGATGTAATATTTTTACCATATTTTATATTTTGTGCAATATTTATAGGTTGGATATGAGCATGCTTCGCAAAATCCGCTTTTGCGAGTATATACTTTGGAGGCTCTGTGTCTTCTTTATTAACTGGTATGAATTTAATTTGTTGCATTACACTTGATGAACTTAAAGGTGATTGAGGTGATTGTGATAATGGAGATGTACATTGCGGAGGAGAAATTATTGGTGTCTCTAAAGTAAACTAAAAGAAAAAATTTAGTTATTAAATATGCATTAAACTTTTACATTTTTTGTCAACATTATATATCCTATGGAACATACTTCTGTTTTTATATTTTGCATTGAACAGTTTGATACTTCTTGCATCAAACATTTCACTTGTCTATCTGAATCATTAGATTCTGAATGGTTAAGGCTACTGGGGGATAATGGAAATTGTATAGTTGGACTTTCAGGTTCAAATTTAATTTCATTTCTTATCTCATCTATTTCCTCCAATCCTATAAAAATTCCAGGTAAATAATTATTTTTAAAAGATAATACTTTATACATATATATATATATATATATATATATATATATACCAGAGTTATTTTGTGCCTGATTAAAGTCAATCTCTTTAAAGGGGGTCCATAAGTCAAAAATATTTTTCACTCCTTCATTTGTAGTTTTATCATAATCCAACATCATATCTCCTTCTGGCATAATAGGTATTCCTAATTCAGAACTCCACGATTGAAAAAGATCATCAGAAACAAATTGATTGCTTCCTTCTATAAAAGAAAAATTCTGATAATTATATAGAATATTTTTAATGCATAATACTATAAAGTCAGATATTCAATTTTATTTTACTTTCCTTATATACTATGCT